TCACTAAAGAAAATTTAAAAGATGAACATCAAGCAGAAGAAATCCCAGATGGTAAGGCTGAGATGCAGAAAGTAAGGAAGTGCAAAGAAAGTGATAAATACGAGTCAGTCTTTTAAAAAAGAAAAATTATACCTGTATGAAATAGTAATGATAATAAAGATGGTGTTGTGTGAGGTTCTAGAAAAGAACTAACATTTTAGCATGTGAGTTGGGAAGAGGTTATGAAATTAAAGCATTCTGAGTTTATTATTTGAGGGGAGAATGAAGATAATTTATTGTAGTCTTTACTAAGGAAAGTATGCACATTAAACTTTCTAGGGTAACTTCTAAAGAATAGAAATGGAGAGCATCATTTCCAAACATAGTGGAGAAACAAACAAACAAAAAGCAGAAACTCAATGAAGAAGAAAGTAAGAAAGGACAAAATAGCATAGAAAAGGTGGAACCAATAAAAATCACAAAATAAGAGGTATATAAATACTCAGGTGTTTTTTTGTTTGTTTGTTTGTTTTGTTTTTGGTACATGTCCCTAGCTGCCCCGGGCACAGTGGAAACTGAACCCGATGCTCTCTGGTTTGCAGGCTGATGCTCCAACCACTGAGCCAAACCCTCCAGGGCCAAGTATTTTAATAATTACTAGAAAAGTAAAACATTTAAATAACTTAATTTTTTTAAATGATCAGATTAGATTACTATGTTTTGTTAATGTTCATGGTGGGGTTTTTGTTTATTTTTTTTTGTTTAATCAAACCAACACAGAGTAGTTTGAAGTGGAAAGTAAGTTCTCCTTCTCTGGCATGTTTGCTTCAACATTTAGAGCATTGGCCTGCGGACTGAGGGTCTTGGGATCAATTCCATTCAAGGGCATGCACCTGGGTTGTAGATTTGATCCTCGGCTCTGGTTGGGGTGTGCAGGAGGCAACCAATCAATGTCTCTCTGTCTCTCTCACATTGATGTTTCTCTCTCTCTCACTCTTTAAAAGTCAATGGAAAAATATCCTTGAGTGAGGATTAACAAAAAAAAAGAAAACAAAAGAAAGTTCTCCTAAACACATGTCCTTATTCTCACTCACGGAGGTAACTATTTTTTTTCTGCTTTCTTCCAGATATTTTCAAATGGCAATTCAATTTTTAATTTTTTGAGGTAACACAATAGTGTTTTCCATAGTGACTGCACCAGTCTGCATTCCCACCAGCAGTGTACTAGAGTCCCCTTTTCTCCACACCTTTGTCAATACTCGTTGTTTGATGATTTGTTGATGGTGGCCATTCTGACAGATGTGAGGTGATACCTCATTGTTGTTTTAATTTGCATTTCTCTGATGATTAGTGATGTTGAGCATTTCTTATATGTCTCTTGGCCATTTGTATGTCCTGTTTGGAGAGGTGTCTATTTAGTTCCTCTGCCCATTTTTTAATTGGGTTCTTTGTCTTCCTTTTGTTGAGTTGTATGAGCACTATATATATTTTAGAAATTAACCCCTTATCTGATATATCATTGGCAGTGATGCTCTCCCATACAGTGGGTTTCCTTTCCATTTTGATGGTTGTTTCTTTTGCTGTGCAGAAGCTTTTGAGTTTGATATAGTCTCATGTGTTCATTTTCTCCTTTGTTTCTGTTGCCTTAGATGATGTATCAGTGAATATTCTGCTGTGTATGATGTCTAAAATTTTTTGCCTACATTTTCTTCTAGGATTTTTATGGATTCATGAGTCACATTTAAGTCTCTTATCCATTTTGAGTTTATTCTTGTGTATGGTGTAAGTTGAGGGTCTAGTTTCATTTTTTGGCATGTAGCTGTTTAATTTTCCCAACACCATTTAATGAAGAGGCTGTCTTTACTCCACTGTATGCTCTTGCCCCCCTTTGTCAAATATTAATTGAGCATATTGCCTTGGGTCCATTTCTGGGTTCTCTGTCCTGTTCCACTGGTCTATATGCCTGTTCTTGTGCCAGTACCAGGCTGTTTTGAGTACAGTGGCTTTGTAGTATAACCTGAAATCTGGTAATGTGATCCCTCCAACTTTGTTCTTCTTTTTCAAGATTGCTGTGGCTATTTGAGGTCTTTTTTGGTTCCATATGAATTTTTGAAGTACTTGTTCTAATTCTGTGAAGTATGCCATTGGTATTTTGATGGGGATTGCATTGAATCTATAGATTGCTTTGGGTAGTATGGACATTTTAATTATCTTAATTCTTCCAATCCATGAACAAGGTTTGTGCTTCCACTTTTTTATATCTTTCTCTATTTCTTTTTTCAATGACCTGTAGTTTTCTGCGAATAGATCCTTTATTTATTTGGTTAAGTTTATTCCTAGGTATCTTAAAATTTTTGCCGCAGGGGTAAATGGGATTGTTTTCTTAGTTTCTCTTTCTGTGAGTTCATCATTGGTGTGTAAGAATGCTATCGATTTCCTGATGTTAATTTCGTATCCTGCTACTTTGTCAAATTCATTTATTAAATCTAGTAAATTTTTGATGGAGTCTTTGGGGTTTTCTACGTATAGTATCATGTTATCTGCGAATAATGACAGTTTCACTTCCTCCTTTCCACTTTGGATCCCTTTTATTTTTTCTTCATGTCTGATTGCCATGGCTAAGACTTCCAGTACTATGTTAAATAAGAGTGGCAAAAGTGGGCATCCCTGTCTTGTTCCTGTTCATAAGGGAAATGCTTTTAGTTTTTGCCCATTGAGTATGATGTTGGCTGTAGGTCTTTCATATATGGCCTTTATTATGTTGAGATATGATCCCTCTATTCCCACATTGCTGAGCGTTTTCATCAGAAATGGATGCTGGCCCTGGCCGGTTTGGCTCAGCGGTTAGAGAGTCAGCCTGCGGTCCAGAGAGACCCGGGTTCGGTTCCCGCTAAGGGCATATATCTTGGTTGTAGTTTGTCCCCAGCCCTGGTTGGTTGAGCGGGTGGCAGCCACTCGATGTGTCCCTTTCACATCGATGTTTCTCTCTCTCTCTCTTCCTCTCTCTCCCTCCCTCTCTATCTGAACAAAAAAATGCAAAAATGTCCTCGGGCGAGGATTAAAAAAAAAAAATGGATGCTGGATTTTGTCAAATGCTTTTTCGGCATCTGTTGATATGATCATGTGTTTTTTATTCTTCATTTTATTTATGTGGTGTATCAGATTTATTGATTTGCCAATATTGTACCAGCCTTGCATCCCTGGGATGAATCCCACTTGGTCATGGTGAATAATTTTTTTGGTGTATTGCTGGATCCGATTTGCTCGTATTTTATTAAGGATTTTGGCATCTATGTTCATCAGGAATATTGGCCTGTAGTTTTCTTTCTTTGTAGTCTTTTTCTGGTTTTGGAATTAGAATTATGCTGGCCTCAGAAATCGAGTTTGAAAGTGTTTCTTCTTTTTTAATTTTTTGAAATAGTTTGAGGAGAATGGATGTTAGTTCTTTGAATGTTCGGTAAAACTTCCCTGAAGCCATCCGGGCCTGGGCTTTTGTTTGCTGGGAGAGTCTTGATTACATCTTCAATTTCCTTAGTTTTTATTGGTCTGTTAAAGTTTTTTATCTCTTCCCGGTCCAGTTTTGGGAGACTATGTGTTTTTAGAAATTTGTCTATTTCCCTTAGATTGTTGAATTTGTTGCCATATTATTGTTCCTATTATTTGTTAATGATCCTCTGTATTTTTGTGGTGTTAGTCGTTACTTCTCTTTCATTTCTGATTTTGTGTATTTGGGTTCTCTCTGTTTCTTGGTGAGTCTAGCCAAGGGTCCATCAATCTTGTTTATCTTTTTGAAAAACCAGCTCTTTGTTTCATTGATCCTTTGAATTCTTTTTTGGTCTATATGTCATTTATTTCTCCTCTAATCTTTACTATTTCCTTCCTTCTACTAGCTCTGGGGTTTTCTTTTTGTTTGCTTTCTACTTCTTTAAGTTGTGAGGTTAGAGAGTCTATTAGAGATTTTTCTTGTTTTTTGAGGTAGGCCTGTAGTACTATGAACTTCCCTCTCTGAACTGCTTTCACTGCATCTCATAGATTTTGTACAACATTCTCAATTGAGAGTATCTCATAAACAAATATGGGGGCATAAGAATGTGTTTTAAAAAATGGTCAGCAACTTGGTATTTCTAATATTAGGGAATGTTTAAGAAAATGGTAGATATGTGAAATGAATCTTGGTGCTACTGAACAGATTCAGCTGTGGTTCACAAGGGTTAAGTGTCCGAGGTTACATTGAGAGTGAATGGCTGAATCAGGATTTGCATCCAGGTTTCCAGGTGTTTCTAATGTAAGAATTAGAAATCTTAATTTCTACATTATATTGCCTTTACATGATACACATGCAATCATTTTATCAACACAAACTTCTTTTACTGAAATAAACATCATTTCTATGCAAAATGAAGTTTGATGGTTACAGTATCATTCTAGGCAGTATTGTCATGATAATCATAAAATTCCCATAAATAATATTTCATTTTAATATAACTTCTTCTTGTTAAACAACTAAAAAGAGGTTTGTGATAGACAAATTGGAAAATGCAAATCAAAAAAAGAAGAAAGTAAAATTACTTTTAATTTTACCACCCGGACATAAACATGGTGTATGTTTTTGAGACATTTTTCAATGTACATATGTACTCAGATAATTATATAAAATATCCTTTCACTTCATATATCATGAACATATTTTCATATCAAAACCTGTTTTACCTGTATTGTACTATCTATACCATATGTTATTTAACCATTCTTTCATTATTAAGTCACACTATAAAGAACATTCATCTCTGCATTAGTCTTGAGAAAAAAATTTTTGAAGTGAAATTATGAGCTCAAAAATTTTGTATATTTTTAAGGCTTCTAGTTTTATAGAAAGAACCAGTTTATATTCCCATTGAGGTATTAAGATTGTCTAATTCCTTGTCTCTGATATTTGTTGTGAAGTTTTCCTTCCTTCTCCCCATTTATAGAAACTGAAAATCCAACATGATAACCAAGTTATTATCATTTTGTTTTTTCAGGAGATGATTTTTCTTTGATTCAACAAGAAATATTTATGGTTAAAGAATGTAAACATTGCAACATCGTTGCCTACTTTGGGAGCTATCTCAGGTAAAAATAAAAGTTTTCTCTCTCTTTGTTATTTTATATTTCTTTGCTATCACTCTCCGTCCCTTTTATGTCATTGGTATTATATATATAAATTTTTAAAATTGCCACCTGGCCAGTGTATCTCTGGATTGAGCATCGATCGTCCCATGGACTGAGAGGTCCTGGTCAGGGCACATGCCTGGGTTGCGGGCTTGATAACCCAGTAGGGGGCATGCAGGAAGCAACCAGTTGATGTTTCTTTCTCCCTTCCTCTCTCTAAAAAAATCAATAAAAAACATATTTTTAAAAAATTATGTTGTCTGAAGTTATAAAATTTCTTAGGTTTTTCTTAATGTTTCCCATTACCTTAATAGTGACACCTCCACTTACGCAATTATACCTTATCTGGGAATCTTAATGAAATACTATGAATGATTACAAATAAGTGGTTTAGCTTATGAAAGTGATCATATTTTAAAGTGTAAGGTGGGAACAAAGCTGAAGTCACTATATTTTTCTGTACCTTGAAGAGAGACTGACATACCCCAATACATTCAATAAAAAGGATAAATAAAAATGAAAATGAAAGACTGCCAGGGTAATTGCCTGTTACACTCCGTAGTTCATCCTAAATCTTGGTGTGCTGAAGAGTGAAAGCCTTCATAGTATGTCAGTGGTTGAGAATTACTAGTTAATGTACTTTTCTTTCTCTTTCATATTAGTCGAGAAAAACTGTGGATTTGTATGGAATACTGTGGTGGCGGATCACTTCAAGATATTTACCATGGTACTATTAATTTGTCTTTATATTTTAAGACTGACTCTGGCTTTAATGATTGTTGTTTGAAATGTCTAGTTAACCAGGGATATTAACAGGTATATTTACTGTTTTACATTCTTCTGTTCTGTTCCTGAAATATTGCATAAAAGAAATCTAAATTTAAATTTTTTGTTATTCAGTTAAATTTGTTGGAGCCTGGATTGAGAAATTCAAGAGTACTTGAACAATCCAAATTTCACTTTTTAGATGTAGTCCTTCAGGAAAGTATTTTATCTACCAGTGAAATCGCCTAAACTTCCTTATAAATAAGAATTTAAATGCAAAGGGTGACTCTCTCATTAAGGAAAACTATTTATCTCTCCTAATAATTTAACCTGCTATCTAGGAAAACAAATTAGTTGTTGCTATAATATTTTTATTTTATTTTATTTTATTTTTAATCCTTACCTGAGGATATTTTTCTATTTATCATCAGTTAGAGTAGGAGGGAGAAAGAGAGAGGAAGAAAGAGAAACATCGATGTGAAAGGAACACATCGACTGGTTGCCTCCTGCAGGACCCAACCAAGGTATATGCCCTTGACCAGAATCGAACCTGTGACTCATTGGTCTGTGGTCTGATGCTCTAACCACTGAGCAACCAGCCAAGGTGCTGGAATATTTTTATATTAAAAATGTATAATTTTTTTTTCTAATCCTTACCGGGGGACATTTTTTTGTTTGTTTTTTGTTCAGATACAGTGGGAAGGAGAGAGAGAGAGAAACCTAGAGGTGAAAGGGACATATCGAGTGGTTGCTACCCGCACGACCCAACCAGGGCCGGGGACAAACTGCAACTGAGGTACATGCCCTTAGCGGGAACCGAACCCCTGTTCTTTCCGGACTGCAGGCCGACGCTCTGACCACTGAGCCAAACCAGCAAGGGCTAAAAATGTATAATTTTTTAGCCCTGGCCAGTTTTTCTCAGTGGTTAGAGTGTAAGCCTACAGACCCATGAGTTTGATTCCAGTCAAGGTGGCACGTACCTTCGTTGCAGTTTGTCCCTGGCCCTGTTTAAGGTCATGCACAACACAACCAGTCAATGTGTCCCTCTCACATCGATGTTTTTCTCTCTCTCCCTTTCTCTCTCTCTCCCTCTCTCCTACCTCTATCTGAAGAAAACTGGAAAAATATCCTCAGGTGAGGATTAAATAAATAAATAAATAAATAAATAAATAAAGACTTCTTGGTAGAAACTAGCTCTATGCCACTTGATTTGAAAGTCTTTTCTGTGGCCCTGGCCAAGGTTGCTCAGTAATTAGAGGGTTGGCCCATCACCGAAGGGTTGCAGGCTCAATTCCCTATAACGGGGCACATATGTGGTTGCAGGTTCGATCCCTAGCCTCAATTGGGGTGTGTGTGGGAGGCAACCAATCATTGTGTCTCTCTCACATCCATGTCTCTCTGTCTTTCTCTCCCTCCCTCCCCCTCTCTACCCCCTTTTCTTCTTCTCTCCTCCCCCCTTCCTCTTTCTTCTTTCCTATCCTACTCTCCCTCTCCCTCCCTCCCTTCCACTCTTTCTAGAAAAATCAATGGAAAAATATTCTAGGGTGAGAGTTAACAACAACAACAAAAGTCTTTTCTGTGGCACTGGCCAGGTAGCACAGTTGGTTAAAGTGTCACCCCGTTAGGCCAAAGTTGTGGGTTTGATCCCTGGTCAGGGCACATACAAGAATCAACTAATGAATGCATAAATAAATGGAACAACAAATTGATATCTGTCTGTCTCTTTCTCTCTCCCCTCCCTTCCTCTCTTCCTCCCTTTCTCTAAAAATCAATAAAAACAAAAGCTAAAAAATGTCTTCTCTATGATTTTATGAAGAATTATGTTTTGCCCTGGCTGGTGTGTCTCAGTGGTTAGAGTGTCTGCCCACGCACTGAGGGGTCAAGGGTTTGATTCCCAGTCAAGGGCATGTACTTGGGTTGCAGGTTTGATCTCTGGCCTGGTCAGGGCGCATGCGGGAGGCATGTGTCTCTTTCACCCCCCCCCCCCCCCCCCGGCCCACCCTCTCCCTTCCACTCTTTCTAAAAATCAGTGGAAAAATATCCTCGGGTGAGGATTAACAACAACAAAAAATAGACTGTTTTTAATCTGTTGTATTCAAGTGTTTTACAACATGGTCTCTTTTTTTTCTTTCTAGTTACTGGACCATTATCAGAATTGCAGATAGCATATGTATGCAGAGAAACTTTACAGGTACTATATTTACTTATATAGCTAAAAAAACAGGTCTCGTTTCGCAATTGAAAACTATGAAATGGCGATCTGTACAAAAAAATGAAAACTAAAGTTTTCTGTTAACTTCTTATATTGTAATCTGTAAGCCTGGTTATTTCTTTCATGAATGATTGACAGGAGTTCATTTAAGCTGATGCTGGTATACATAGTGGTCTTTTGCCATTTCTCCCCAAACGAAAATAAATTAGCCTCGCAATTACTCATAATGGTATCTGGAAAACCTAGTTCTGTGTGATATTAAAAGTCATTGAGAGCAGAATCTTTTTTTCTTTTTAGTTTGGTAAACATTCTCTTTAGTGAAAGTTTCTTTATTTCAGATGTGTGAGCACTTTTAGTATCTTAAAGTAGGTTGTGAATCTTTCATAGGAATATAGATTATGCAGCACTTCTCCCAATATATTTATCTTTTTAGTGTCCTAAAAGACTACTCATTGAAAAAATTAGCAATTAATAATTAACCATTTCATTTATAATTTTGTTTAACTACTTTGATTCAAATAATCATTTCATTGTATATGTATTTCAAAGAATCATGTTGTACACCTCAAAAATATATATATTTAATTTTATTAAATAAAATTTTTTAAAGGACAGAAATGGTCAGAATGGAAAAAAGCAAAACCCAACTAGATGCTGCCTACAAGAAAATACTTTCATAAAGACAGATAGGTCGAAAGTAAAAGGAAAAGAAAAACAGATATACCATACTAATCGTTTAAAACAAAGCCAGAGTGGCCATATTACAAAGTCGACTTCAGAGCAAAGACTTCTGACATCCATAGGCAAACAAATGAACCTCAAACCGTACTTCACACCGTATATAAAAATCTCATAGACATAAATATAAAATCTAAAACTACAAATTCTAGAAAAGAACAGAGGAGAAAATTTTCCAGTGTTGAATTAAATTCTCTATAAAATAAATACTTGTTAAATTAGTCTTCATGAAAACCAAAACTCTCCTCTTCAAGAGGCAGTGCTGGTATACATAGTGGTCTTTTGCCATTTGTAAGGAAAAGCTGCAGACTAAATGTAGAAATTTGCAAATACATATCTGATTGGGGACTTGTATCCACAGTATATAAAGAACTCTCAAAACTCAATGATAAGAAAATAACAACCCATTACGCAAATGGACAAAAGATTTAACCAGACCTTTCACAAAAGAAGATGTATGGGTAGAAAAGATGCTCAAGATCATTAGTTATTAGAAAAGTGTGTATTAAAACCACAGTGAGATACCACTACACACTAATTAGAATGGCTAAAATAAAAATAAAAAAAATGATTTAAGAAGGTTGGTGAGGATGTAGATGAATGGGAACTCTCATACAATGCTGGTTTTAATGTAAAATGGTCCAGTTGCTTTGGAAAACAGTTTGGCAGTCACCAGAAGTTTATCTTGTACCACCATATGATCCAGCTGTTGCACTGCTAGGTATTTAGCCGAGAGGAAAAAAAAATCATGCAATGACTGTACATGGATCTTCTTCATAGCAACTTTATAATAGCCAAAAACTGGAAACAACCCAAATGTCTGTTAATAGGTGAGTGGATAAAGAAATTTTGGTATATCTGTGCAATGGACTGTTACTTGGTAATAAAGAAGAATGAACTATTGATAACAAATTACAATGTGAGTGAAATTAACAAGGAATGTCACATTAATTATTGTGAAAGACCCAGATAAAAAAGAATATACTGTATGATTTATTTTACATAAAACTTTTAAAAATTCAGAAGTGACCTGTAGTGACAGAAATCAGATCAGCATCAATAGCTGTTAATATCACTAAAAGACAACCAGACATTGTGTAATTCCTAATGGACCCCAGCACCAACTAAACAGAGCATCCTTCTCAGAGGTCTGAATTTCATTTCCACAGAACTCTTTTACCAGGCTTATAAATAATAATTACAGCCTTTTCTCTCTCCTGCTCCCCCAGGTCATAGAGTTTTGGTAGCAGCTTCCTGCAGTTGCTGCTGCTGTAATACTTTAGTGCTCTTTTTGTTCCATAACTTAGATGTTTTCAGTCTTCTGACTGGACTCACTATATAGCACCACCATGAAGTAATTTTACCCAAATAACTAAATCTTGAATCTCATCAAGACCCTAGATTTAAGTGCTTATTTACTGTTTATACAGGGGTCAAAGGAACATGTAAAATGGCATCATTGGGATGTAACTAGCAAAATCCAAATCCTGAGAGACTGCATAGGATAAACAACACTTTCTTTAATAAAAACTTAAAAGGAAAAAGTAATAAGATATGGCAGAGGATCCCACAGATTAAAAGAAAAGTAGGAGTCATGTCAACAAGTTGCAGTGTTTGGATCCCACTTTAAACAATTGTGAACGCTGGATATTTGATATTATTAAACAATTGTTAATTATGAGGGCATAATGATATCATTGTGGTTTTGTGTTCTTTTTAAAAGTCACTTCTTAGTGAATGAAATATGAAATCTAAGACTTCAGAATAATGTGGTGGTAGAGTGGGAGTTTGGTGTGTGAGGGCCTAGATTAAACAAGATTGGCCATGATTTCATAGTTGTTGGGTCTAGGAGATGGGTACATAGGGATTCATTGTATTGTTATTCAGCCTTTATATGTGAAGTTTTCTATAGTAAAAACAAAAGAAAGATTAGTGTTTGTGTGTGGGAGCAACTTTTGGGAGTGTTGGATATGTTCGTTTTGCTTCATTGTGGTGATGGTGTTATAGTACAATATTTCTGATTTTTATCAGAAAATAAACTTGAAATCTTAAACTAGAGTAAACACTGACTAGTAAAAAGAATCTCATCTAGGGTTTCTCCCGCCAAAAAAAAGACATTCTCATTTTTCTTATTCAATAAGAATTCAAGTAGGAAATTTAGGTGGCAAGTTTGCAGTTTTCCTAATGTTACCATTTTTTTTTTTAACTTTAGGGTCTTGCCTACTTGCATACTAAAGGCAAAATGCATAGAGATATCAAAGTAAGTTTATTTAATATGTTTATATTGATAATTTTATTGGAGTGAATTTTTTGATACTAATTAAATCGTATTTGTATTTTTGTTTTAGGGTGCAAATATTTTATTGACAGATCATGGTGATGTAAAATTAGGTATGTTATTTCAATTTTCTAACATTTTTTTTCCAAATTTGAATAAATTTTAATATTATACAAGTTTAATATTCATACCAAGAGCCATAATAATGTTCATCTTTTGACCCAGCAATATTACTCCTGAGACTCAGTTTAAGGAGATTAATCCTAAAGATAAAAAAAATCCATATTCACAGAAGTGTTAGTCATAACATTTTATATAATAGAAAAAAGTGAGCCCTGGCCGGTTTGGCTCAGCGGTTAAAGCGTTGGCCCACAGACCAATGAGTCGCAGGTTCGATTCTGGCCAAGGGCATGTACCTCCTTTACGGTTCATCCCTGGCCCTGGTCAGGTCATGCGGGAGGTAACCGTAGATGTGGCTCTATCATATTGATGTTTTTCTCTCTCCCTCCCTCCCACTCTATCTGACGATAAATAGAAAAGTATCCTTGGGTGAGGAATAAAAAATAAAAGTAAAGAAAAAAGTGAGAACATATTTCTAGCAATAGAAAAACTGTTAAGTTGTGATAAATCCACTTAAGGAACATTATTCAGTCATCAAAGTTAATAGTTAAGCCCTGGCTGGGTGGTTCAGTTGGTTGGAGTGTTGTCCCATGCACCGGAAACTCGCAGTTGCAGGTTTGATTCCTGGTCAGGGCGAGTGTGGGAGGCAACCAGTCAATGATTCTCTCTCACATCATTGCTTCCCTCCTTCCTTCCCTCTCTAGCTCCCTTTCTCTTTCTCTAAAATCATTAAAAGCATATCCTCAGGTGAGGATTAAAAAAAAAATTGTTAAGAAGAGTAAGAGTAAAATCCCCTGGTCTGTTATGTAACAAAAATGAACTATTTTGTATTTAGTTTTTTACAATCATATTCAGCAACAACAATAACAAAGTTTATACATAAAAAAAGAACTTTTTTGCCTAGCCAAAGCCCACCCATCTCCTTCTCACTGGGGTGCACTTAAAAAAAACAAAAAAACAAAAAACATTTTTATAACAGCACCAAAATACTAACCTGGTTGTGTTAGAATAAAAGGAATTCAGGTGGGTGTTTTATATTTTGCTCTTTTCTTTTTCTTAAATGAACTTTAATGTGCTTGCAATAAAAATATTTTATTAACTTTGTTCTATAAACCAAACAAGAAGGGATTTAAGTATTGAATTTTTATACATTTCCCTAGCATTACTACCTGATTATTAATAATGTCATGCCTAAGGGTGAAACTTAGAAATGCTTTTATTGAAAAGAACTAAAATTTTCTGTTTTATTTTTCCTCCAACAGCCGACTTTGGTGTAGCAGCAAAAATAACAGCTACCATTGCAAAGAGAAAATCTTTCATTGGCACCCCTTATTGGTAAGACAGATTTATATTATGATTGAATTTGTGCATTTTCATTTCTTTAGGAAGTCTGAAGGCTTGCATGCTCCTTGATACTATCACAGTTCTAATTGGGTTGGGAAACTTTGATATTCATTTGCATTGCTCAGATTTCCTTGTGTTAAAGTGCTAAAAATTCCTGCTGTCTCTGGGATCTTTTATTAAGAGCACTCTTATGTATGAGAGTTTCAAAAGAAAGACTCATATTACAACCTCTTGTCATTTTGTTACCCTTTCTTTTGGTATTGGTTCTGTTTTAATTTAGGACTTTGCTATCTGGTTGTTAAAACTTATGCATCCAGCCCTGGCCAGTTTTGCTCAGTGGTTAGAGTGTTAGCCCTTGGACCAAAGGGTCACAGGTTCGATTCCAAATCAAGGACATGTACCTGGGTTGCAGGTTTGATCCCCTGCCCCAGTTGGGGTTGTGCAGGAGGCAACCAATTGATGTGTGTCTCTTTTTTTTTATCCTCACCAAGGACATCTTTTGCATTTATCTTCAGATAGAGTGAGAGGGAGGAAAGGAGGAAGAGAGAGAGAGAAACATCAATGTGAGAGAGACACACTGACTGGTTGCCACGCACACAACCCCAACCGGGGCCGGGGACAAACTGCAACCAAGGCACATGCCCTTAGCAGGAACCAAACTCGGGACTCTCTGGTCCACGGGCCGACGCTCTAACCGCTGAGCCTAGCCGGCCAGGGCTGATGTGTCTCTTTCACATCAATGTTTCTCTCTTTCCCTCCCTCCCACTCTATCTAAAAATCAATGGAAGGATATCCTTGGGTGAGAATTAACAACAACAAAAAACTTATGCATCCTACCCTACCATTAGTCTTCACCAGCCACCCTACTCCTAGTACATTCTACCAATTACTGACAAAGTAATCTTTCTAAAACACTGCTTTCAGCCCTGGCCGATATACCTCAGTTGGTTGAGCATTGTCGTGTGAACCTGAAAGGTTGCTGGCTCAATTCCACGTCAGGGCACATAGCCAGGTTGGGGGTTCTTTCCCTGGTGGGGGTGCATGCAGGAGGCAACTGAACCAATTAATGTTTCTCTCTCATATCATGTTTCTTGCTCTCTGAAATCAATAAAAACACATTAAAAAAATAAATTAAACACTGTTTTCATTAATGAAGACACTCGAAATATAATAGAAAGCCTAGTAATAAATTTCAATATGTAAAGTCATTTAATGAATATTATAAATGGTGTCATTTATTTTTTTTTATTAGTATTATTTTTTGTTGTTGTTGTTAATCCTCACCTGAGGATATTTTTTCATTGATTTTTAGATAGATTGGAAGGAAGGGAGGGAGAGAGAGAAAAACATCAGTGTGAGAGAGACACATCGATTGGTTGCCTCCTGCATAACCCCTACCAGGGCTGGGGATCGAATCTGTAACCCAGGAATGTGCACTTGACCAGAATTGAACCCATGACCCTTTGGTACACAGGCCAACGCTCTAACCACTGAGCAAAACTGGCCAGGGTGAAATGGTGCCATTTAAAGTTTGATGAAACATTGGATTTTTTATTATTTGGATAATTTATCATTTGGAAAGAAATTTAAAGTAGCTTCATACCTCATACTAATATAAAATAAATTACATATGGAAACAGTCTAATTTATAAAAGTAAATCCTAAAGAAATATCAGTGGCTATCTGCTTTAAGAGTTGAGTAAGCCTTTTTTGACCTAAAAGCATAAAATGTTAAAGGGAAAAATTGATAGATTTAACTACACGAAAATATAAAACTGTTATATGTCCACCAGCCTAAAAGGGAAAGGCAAATAACAACCAGGAAGTAGTGGCTAAAATATAACAAACTAGATTTTAATATCTTTAATATGTAAGTCCTTAATAAATGAATAAAAAGAGTGTGTCCTTAGAAGTAGTTATTAAAATCATACATATAAGATGTCATAAAATATGAATAATATTTCCCCCATTGATGACCAATATGCAAATTAAATAAACAGTAACATTCTTTTCTGTGAAATTGGAAGATATTAGGAATCATGGATAATACCTATCACTATCACTAAATATTTGACAATGAAAGTAGAAATTGGTAGAACAGTTTTGAAAGATGATTTGGTAGCAGTGTTTTTCAAAAATCTTAAGTAATGTTTATGTTCTAGTCTCAATTCTGCTTGTATTACTTTATTAAAGAGACATACATATTAAGAGCTTTATCAAATACTTTAGTAATGAAAAATGGAATATATGCATATCCAATAGTAATTAGTTAAAGAAATTATGTATATTCATTCAAACCAATAGAATAAATTGTTGATATTAAAAATCCTGTTGTAAAATATGAATGATCTGTGGACAGGCTTATAATATAATGTTAAAACAAAGGAATATTAAAAGTAGCATATGCAATATAATACCATTTTTATAGAAGATATGTGTGTGTTTTAAATTTGTGGATGAAAATATGTGCAACAGTGTTTTTCTTTAACTTGTTTTCTTCCATATTTTTTCATGTCTTCCAAATTCTCTTCAGTCAACACATACCACTTTTAACAACAGAATAAAAAACCTCAATAAATATCATTTAAATAAAATTTTTAAAAAATAGGTGAGTTAGATTACCTATAAAATTTCATTCATCACATGCCAATTTCCCTTTTCAGTCTCTTTACTGTGACTGTCCTTCCCTGTCTTCTTTAGTCAAAATGGTCAGTTTTTGGTACCCTGACTATTCCAGATATTGGTTACTAGCTCCCTATATATGTGTCTTCTGTGTTTATCTTAAGTCCTGTTCTGTCTAAAAAGTGGCACACACTCTGCCTTACTTCACCAGTGGCAGACTGATTGGTCATATCTCTGTTTTCCACTGAACCAGGAAATGCAACAGTCCTGGTTAGCGTGGTGCTGCAGTTAGCCACTACTAACTGACTGACTGTAATGGGCAGAGGAGATGAAACCAATGTGCTTTCTCTGGGTTCCAGCTCAGCTTCTTTCTCTCTGAAATTTGCCTTTAATCACCTTGCTCCATGATGATCATTTTCTCCTTTCTGTTTCTTTTTTTGTGGTACGTGCCCCTAGCAGGAACTGAACCTGGGACTCTCTGGTCCGCAGGCCGACGCTCAACCGCTGAGCCAAACTGGCCAGGGCTCCTTTCTGTTTCTATACCTATTATTATGTATGTATACTTACAGATAGCATGTAGATGTACATGTTGGCACTTTTAGTATATGTATTTTTATATTCTTACCCACACTTAGGTCGAGAGACATTTTATTATATATAATTTTTGTAACCTAAGTGCATATAAAAGTAACTTTTACCTTGTGGGTATTCAATATCAATATCAATATAAATTAATTAATTAATATAAATAGTAAACATTTTAAAAAATAGCAATATTTCCCCTGAGCAGTATCATCTGTGCTTTATAACTTCAGATGCCATCATTATACACCACCGACTCCCAAATAGATAACTCCAACTCAGCTACTCAGTTGACCTTCAATCCTGTATATATTCAACAATTGTTTGATAATAGCTCTACTTGGATACACACAAACATTTTATGCTCACATGAGTCTCTTTTGTCAGCCCCTTTTATTCTGTCCCCTTTACCACTGCCTTCGAAAAATCCTTTGCTTTTTCCCTTGTATTTTTTAAATATTTTAACTCATCTGCCTAATGCTGGTTTCATGTCCTCTCACACTATCTTTCATGTTGCCATGAATTTTAGATCAAGTTTACCTCCATAATTAATCTTTTATTTTCATGGTGAAATCTAGACTTTCTTATATAATCAGTAGGCCATTCATTGTCCATCTAACATCACCTCTGATGTTCATTTTTCAAATACTTTATTGACCCTCTCAAAATATCTGTGATGAATGCCCTTTTAGTAAAGTAAATTAAAAATGAAATACTAAAAAATGATCCTGTATTGTACTAGAGTAAATGCTTACTCTCAATTTCTCTGCTTATCACAGACTCATAACAAGCAATTTATGTCCCATCAGTATGTAGATCATACATTGAGTAGCAGCACTGTTCTATCACTTCTCCAGGTATTTCATGCCCTCCCTGTCTCCCTTCATTCACACTTGTTTCCTCTGATTAAAATGTCCCTACTCCCCACTCCTCTTAGCTCCCTGCTATTTCATTTATTTTTTTAAGAATTTTTAAAAATATGTTTTCATTGATTTGGTGGGGGGGGGGGGTGAGAGAGAGAGAAACATCAGTGTGAGAATGATACATAGATCAGCTGCCTCCTGCACTCCCCCTGCTGAGGATCGAGCCCGTAACCCGGGCATGTGCCCTGACCAGGAATTGAACCAGGATCTCTCAGTCCATGGGACTATTCAGTTCACTGAGCCACACCTATAGGGCCCTGCTAATTCATTTTTTAAATGATTTGGTAACCTCTTTTGGGAACTTTTCTCTAACCTTCACAGGGATTTAGGTGTTCTTTTTCTTTTCGCATATTATATAACAAGGTTCACAAAACAGAAACTAAAGTAAGACAGCATGATTTTTCCTCAGAGCACTAGTATTCAGAGAAGATTCAAGATTTTTAAATAATGAATTTAAAGATCATGTGTGTCTGTGTATGTATCAAGTCTTTGTCTTTTTTAGTAAAGTTTCTTCTTAGCAAATGCCTCTCAGCTGCTTTTCCTCCAAGAAGTCTAGTGAATATGACAAAAGTAGCAGATTTCATATAATTTAAAAAAAATAAAAGTGATACATTCATTGATTCCTTCTAGGATGGCCCCAGAAGTTGCAGCAGTAGAAAAGAATGGTGGCTACAACCAACTCTGTGATATCTGGGCAGTAGGAATAACAGCAATTGAACTTGGAGAACTTCAGCCACCTATGTTTGATCTTCATCCAATGAGGTGTTCTCACTATTTACAATTATGCAGTTATTAATAGGTCTTCTGGGAGAGTGAGATACTGATAATTGGATATTCCAAGCTCATTTTCAAGTATGTTAAAATGGTATAGGTGTTATAAGGCACTTAGGGATAATCTCATCTAAAACCTCTCTTATGTTGCTATTTCTAAAACAATAGGGAGCAAATAGTCTGTACCGTCTGAAGTCTTTTTTAAGTCACTACATTCATTCTTCCGTCAATTGAACCTGTTTCTTTTTTTGTCTTAAGTAGAATTATAAACAAATGATAGAATACAGATAAGACTTTTTTCTATTCTCATTTCATTGTTTTTTTTTTTTGTTTTTACTTTGTTTAGGGATAAAGACGTATACTTAGTATAATTATCATTTGCATTTTAGGTGTAAAATGTCTCAGAAAAAATAAATTTGAGGACCTTTGAAAAGGTTTTTACTATTTTGAAGAAAAAGATAAATTGGACTAAAATTTAAACTTTTAAAGTAAATAGTATGAAGTTAAAAAGAAAATCAACAGAATGGGGAACTTGTTTTCCTAACACGATAGACAGAATAGTAGTATTACATAAGGACTTCGTTCAAAGACTTTATAGGTAAAATATAGAGTGTTTATGATCAAGGACCAAATACTAAAGAAACATGGAAAGCTATTTGACCTCACAAGTAACTAAAGTTATAGTTAAACGAGATCTACATTTAGGTGGAATGCCAAAAAGTACAAGCTTTTAGGAAAATAATTTAGACATTTGTTATGGGTCATTCAAATGTTTCTGATTTTTCACTACTTGGAAAATTATGCTTAGTAAATAAATTCAAGGGGTAAAAAAAGCTAAGAATTATTTATTTCAGGGTAACAGGAAAAATCTAAATGTCCAATAGTTAGTGAATTGTTAAGCAAATTATTTAGCAGGTAAGGGCAGCTATTACATGCGTATAAACTAAAGCAACATGGAAAATTGCTTATTAGTAAAAAAAAAAAAAAAGAATATAATATTACCTAATACAATGATGTAGTAATTGGTTATTATTAAGATAAAGACTAAAAAGAAGAGCAGAAAATTTCAAATAATGTCTTAGGGTTGTAGGAATATAGACTTTTTTCAATTTTCCATTTAATTTTTAAAATGAGAAACTATATTTGGTATTTTTAAAAAAGACTAAAGAGTTTGTTTATAGAAACCTGGAAGGGATTTTGTAGGAAATAGTGAAATAAAGCATTTTAGAGCTTTCTTCTTGAATCTTTCATTCTTCTACCCCTATAGTTCGTAGAAAATGAGTCAAAGGTAGATACATAGAGAAAGTCCTCTTGTAGATTGACTTTCGTATCGTTCATATTAAGAGAATGTGGAAAATTATTGTCCAAAAAGGGAAACAGACTACGAAGTGAATATGATTTCACTATACACCCAAAATAAGAGGCAAATCTTTAGTTAAACATACAACCTAATATTAGGTGTGTATTACAGAATAATGTACAATTATATAGACTTGTACCTAAGATACAGTACTAGTTATATATGTAACAGTATGGTATCAAAACTCTTCTCTAACATTTGGTAGCTTTGCCATGAATAAGAGCTTGTTTGAAATTAAAGAGCCTTTCTCTGGCCAGGTGAAACTTTCCATAGACTCTCTAAAATATAAAAAATTTAATTTTCATATTTCAGACCAGTTTTCATCAGTGCCTACATATATAGTAATCTTGTATAAATTTATTACAGAATATTCATTCTGATTAGTAGATGTAGTAATAAAAGTATTTTGGTATTGCTCTTTAACTGAAGTTTTTATTTCAGGGCCCTCTTCTTAATGTCAAAAAGTAATTTTCAGCCCCCGAAACTAAAGGACAAAACAAAATGGTAAGTTAAATATACATAGATTTATAGAATTTTACAATGAAAGGGACACAGGTTTAGTTCACTTATTTTGTGGATGATGAAACTGAAGCCCAGAGGCATTAAAAAAACAGTTAACTTGAAGTTACACATCTAGTTTACTTGCAGAGTATTGCAAAGATGTAGGTTTTTCTGATCAGTGTTCCTTTATAATGTACTGCTCTCTTTAAAAACTCCGATCATATTTTTATGGTCTGGCAGTTTGGGTAAGAGATGTGGTGAGGAAAGGATTTGAAATAAATACATTAAGAGTTTGAAGATTTATATTTTTACTCTGTACTTTACTTTCATTAATTACATCTTGACTTCTATGGGAGATGATATGAAAAGTTTTCCCAGATACCGTAACACTTAAAATTAATCTTTAATGACTTTCCTCTACCTTCCTTCCCTAATATTAAAAAATGTTATTACTTATTTTCATTCTAATCTCTTCTTTCTTGTACAAAGTAAAGTAATTTGAATATTCTTGTAGTTGATAAGGACATCTTCAGTTGGATGATAAAAATTGAAAATTGTTTTTCTGGTAATGTCTTTCCATACATTTAATTTTTTAAAAACTATGCAAATAAGTTTCCAAGTTCTCTTTGGGTCCCCAAACTTCTCTCTGTATGTATATTCATTTTTCTCGTGAGACAGTTCATATCTTTTTTCAGATTCTAAGAGTCCCATTCCCAAAACAGGTTCTAAACTACTATTTTATTTTTTTATTAGCCTGTCTATGCATAGAATTACTTAGAAGCCAGGCCATTCTGCGAATGATGCCAGGAGTGGAAGGCAAATCATACTTCGGAAATAAAGGAGTTTATATTCTGCCAGTTGTATTCTTTTTTATTGACATGGGTTTCTTCCTATGCCTTGTTACCCCAAGTTCCTAAGCAACTGAAACTGGAGGGCTTTATGGCAGGAAGGGACTGAATATTCATTCAGGAATGAATGACTATTAGTTGTAACCACTGAATTCAGGCAGATTCCTGAGCAGTCATTACCATTGGAGTACCTTTGCCAGTCTCAGGTACTGTGTAACTCCATGTTATCTCTTTCACAAGTCACCAAATGTAGTGCAGTGATGTGATTTCTCTTGACGAGAACTGCTGTGTGTTTGCTGTCATTGGTAATGACTAAGGTTATTCTCTTTGGTCCTTGCCCAGTTTCTCCTCCAGTGGAATTTTGGCTATGGTGCAGATATCTCTCTTTGCTATTAATTAATAATCCAAACACGACTCCTTTAATTTGTCTTTTTCTTTTTCCCACTTCATCAATGCAGGTGTCAAGAAAACTGTTCTGGTTGCTAAAATCACTCATTCTTGCCCTCATTCCTAAGAAATTCAGTAACCTTTTAGGGGCTTTAAATGATCTTTTATATTACCCACCTTATTTCCATGTCATTCAACTCTTTAGGTATAGCAAAACATGTATATGCTATGTAAATTAGGCAATAAGAAAGGGTCATTTTGATTCCTAAGTTTAATTCCTGAAACACAAGATAATGAATCCTATAAATGATAGACCTATGCATTTCTACTTTTTAATGTATTTTTTAGAGCTCATATATATTACTATTCTGTTAACTAACTGAATTTTACTTAAGAGATGGAATCAACACATGTTTTCAAGGAATATACTGTGTTTTGGGTTTAGTTTTTTGGCTTATATAGAGCTAAGGGACATAAGAAAAAAATCATGTGTTTCAGACTTTCTAACTACTTGTAAGTTAATTTAGTAACACCAAAAAACTAATATTAGTGAAATATTTTTGTACATGTCTCTTTCTGTTTGAAGGTCATCAACATTCCATAATTTTGTCAAAATAGCACTAACCAAAAACCCCAAAAAAAGACCAACTGCTGAAAGACTTCTGACTGTAAGTCATTGAAATTACAGGGGAATTTTCTGTAGGCTTGCCTTAATTAGGCATATCACTAGAACAAAAGTATTTAGGTTTTTTAATATAAAAATGTTAGTGATCTCTTACAGCAGGGGTCAGCAAACTTTCTGTAAAGAGCCAGATAGTAAATATTTTAGGCTTTGTGGGCCATATAGCATCTGTTGCAACTACTCAGTTTTGTTCTTGTAACACAAAAGCAGCCATAGATAGTACACACAAATGGGTGTGGCTTTAATACCCAATTAAATTTTATTTACAAAAAGAGACAGTGCACCAGTTTTGCGGACAGGCTGTATGTAGTTTGCCAACCCCTGCCTTAGAGAAAACTGTCAAAAATGTTGCTGTCATCTAAAATTAATTGCTTTTCTAGATTTTTTCTATAAGTTTATAGAATACCATGTGTGTATATGTGTTTGTTAAATACTTTTATAGTACAAAAAATCAATAATTATAGCTGTCTATGAAAACTTTATTTGAATGTAATCATTTTACCGTATGTCTTGGTATATTAACAATTTTATCAGTATAATGCGAAGAGTAATAAATGTCATTGTCAAAGCCAAGGTTTCAATTTTACAATCTAATATATTCATGTTATAAACTTACCCCCCAAAGATTCTTTAGTTTTATTAACATATAGTTATGGATTCCCTGATTAATATTTTTGCTAATACATTCTCTAGTTTATTTGTATTAGTAGGTTCCCATATGCTAGTCTTTGATATTTACTGAATAGAAAAGTACAAATAACATTTTTATAAGCCATAGATATAAAAGCATACTCATGAAATTGTTTTGTTTTGTTTTCACTTAGCATACTTTTGTAGGGCAGCCAGGTCTCTCTAGGGCCCTGGCAGTTGAACTCTTGGACAAAGTGAACAATCCGGACAACCATGCACATTACACTGAAGGAGATGACGATGACTTTGAGGTAAGGAGTATTTCTGATCTAATACAGTCGTCCCTCAGCCACTTCTCGCTTCAACATTTGCGGCTTCACAATAGCATCGAAGCGAGAAGTGGCCGAGGGACAACTGTATAGAAATAAAGAATCCCACTTAACGGAAATTCATTTATCGCGGTAGAGTCTGGAACTGATTAACCGCGATAAGTGAGGGCCGACTGTACTCCTTCAGGTGGAAGTCATTTCTCTTTCCTCTGGGCATTAATAGTAATCTTCTTAATGAGTGGCATTTACCGTTTTCTAATCTTACAAATATTTTGTGCCTTATCTTCCTAGACTGTAAGCTCTTTGAAGATCTCTGGCTTGCTTTGAATCTGTTAAATATTTTATATAGTATAGACATGGAATAAGGGAAAGAGAGAGAAACATCAATTTGTTGTTCCACTTATTTATGCATTCATTTGTTGCTTCTTGTATGTGCCCTGACCGGGATCAAACCCGCATCCTTGGCATATCAGAATGATACTCTAACCAACTAAGCTACTCATCCAGGGCTAAGTGAATAAACTTTTAAAGTACCTTAGTGTTCATTGTATTTTTTAATTTTTCTACTATAATTTATTAAGATGTAGTCATGTTTGTCAGTAAGTGAACATTTAATTGAAAAAGAGAAACTTTGCCCAGTCATTGTGGTCCACTGGTTGATTATCGACCCATGCACCAAGAGGTTGCCAGTTCGATTTCTGGTCAGGGCACGTGCCCAGGTTGTGGGCCAAATCCCCAGTGCTAGGCATGCAGGAGGTGGCCAATCGATGTTCTCTCTCATTGATGTTTCTCTCTCTCTCTCCCTTCCTCTCTCTAAAATCAATAAAGAAAAGAATTTAAAAAAGAAAGAAAAAAGAAACTTTGAATTTTTAACTTTATCCTTGAAATTTTTTTTAAAAAAGATCAAGGGATTAAGTACTACAAATTAGTAGTGACAAAATAGTCCTGAAGATGTCAAATACAGCATAGGGAATATAGTCAGTAAAATCATATGGTGCCAGGTGGTATTTGAGATATTGGGGGGGACCACTTTGTACAGTATATGATTGTCTAACCACTATATTGTACACCTAATACAAAATAATATTGAATGTAAACTAATTGAAAAATAAAATAAAATAAAAAACTTTTAACTGTGTATGTTATGCTTATATCCACAGCCCCATGCAATCATTCGTCATACCATTAGATCTACAAACAGGAATGCCAGAGCTGAACGCACAGCTTCAGAAATAAATTGTATGTGTTTGGTATACATTTTCAATTGGTGGTTTTGGAGGGTTGACCTAGGTGTTCTTCTAGTTTATGGAATAATAAAATCTCAAACTAACTGAGGCTCTGTTCTTTAACATCAGAATACCTCTAAAATAGAGGTTGTTTTTCTAGTTTATAATGGAATTCCCTTGGTTTACAATAAAATAGTTTTTTTTATTTTCTAATTACAATAAATATATGTCCATTGCAGAAAATTTGCAAGAGGAAAAAACTAGAAAATCAACATTGCCTACAATCACATCACACAGTGCCAACACACAAATACTATTTTGTTGAATTTCCTTCATGCTTTTCCATGTATATTTTTTGATGGCTATATTTATAATTTACATTAAATTTTACTTAGGTATTTTCTACATATTAACCTAGCGTTTGTAATCATTATGTTTGATGGTTGCTTCCTATTCATTGAGCTGATATGTTATAGTTGAACAGTTTCTTATTGTTGGACATTTGGGTTGGTTTTAGTTTTTTTAGTCAGCTAAGATGAGTCTTTTCTAAAATACATATTTTAAAAGGGAAATTGACTTTTATTTACTAAATTAATCATTGACAGATAAAAGTTTTATCCAATATTTGTCATTTTAGCCTTAGTAATTTAGAAGGATAGATTTGCAAGAAGTTTTAAGTATGTGTATATTGATTTCAATTTATACTTGTTTCAAAGAGATTTAAAGTAGTTTACAGTAAAATAAGATATAAATAAAAATTATAAACTATAATGGAAGAAGATAATTTATTAAATATTTAGGCTAATTAGAATCATTGCAAATGAATATTTTAAGTCTGAGTTTTCTTGAGCCCAAATATTTCTAGCTTTCTGGATACAGCATCGGAAATGTAGGTCAATGGAGAGTTAGAGATATCCTTTCCTATCAGTTGTTTCAATCATGTCTATTTATAGTTAAACCAGTAATTCAAGATTTTATCTCTTTGTTAGTCCCAGATTGCTAATGTTCTTATGCTATCTTTTTACATAATCCCAAGTGAAATCTCTGGGTTTCAAATACTAGACAGAAAAGTAGCAAAGTTGATATTCCATTATAAAGCTCTCTCTTTTATGCAGCTGTATAGTATTCAATTAATGTAATCTAATTTATCCATCTTGTATAACTTTTGGGTTTTTGTTATGTTTACCAAGGCCTTCCTGATGTTAAAGTTATAATTTTCCTATTATTTCTCCTTGTATTTTTTTAAAATATGTTTTTATTGATATTTTAGAGAGAGAGGAAGGGAGAGAGAGAGAGAAACGTTGATCAGCTGTCTCTTGCATGCCCCTCACCGGGGATGGAGCCTGCAACCTGGCCATGTGCCCTGACCAGGAATTGAACTGGGACTTCTCAGTCCATAGGATGATGCTCAATCCACTGAGCCACACCAACCAGGCTCTTTTTATATTTTTACAGTTTCATTTTTTAATATTTAAATCTTTAAGATATTAATTTATTTGGTAGAAGGTATGAAATACTGATTCAAGTTCAGTTTCTTTTCAAATGACTACCTATTTGTCTCATTGCTGTTTATTAAAAACTTTACATTTTCATTAATGGGTCTAATTATGCCACCTTTATTATGTACTAAATTACCACATGCATTTTAAGCCTCATTCCAGAAATTCTGTTCTGTTGCATTAATATATCTAGTCATGTGCCAGTAGCATACTTTTGATTATTATGTCTTTATAATACCTATTAAAATCTGTTAGGACTAATCCTTCTCCTACTTCCCCCCAACCTCCCCACACACATACATACCTAGTTGCTGTTCTTTTTTATTAATGATATTTGGCTATTGTATTTTCCCAGCATGAACTTAAGAATCAGTTTAACTAGCCCTGGCCGGGTTTGCTCAGTGGTTAGAGCGTCGGCCTGCAGTCCCGAGAGACCCGGGTTCAGTTCCCGCTAAGGGCACGTATCTCGGTTGCAGTTTGTCCCTGGCCCTGATTGGTCGTGCAGGTGGCAGCCACTCAATGTGTCCCTTTCACATCAATGTTTCTCTCTCTGTCTCTCTCTCTCTCTGTCTCCCTCCCTTCCTCCCTCCCTCCCTCCCCCTCTACCTGAATAAAAAATGGAAAAATGTCCTTGGGTGAGGATTAAAAAAAAAGAATCAGTTTAACTAGTTTTGAAAACTGTTGGTGTTTTTACTGAGGTCTCATAAATTTATATATTAACTCCAGGAGAGTTGACATCCTTATGACATTTCATCTTCTTAACCAAAATAGGCCTTTTCAGAGATAAGTTCAAAATTCAGTTCTTTCATGAGTGCCCAGTGTATTACTATCTTCATCGAGTGAGCTCTTTGTGCTTCAAGTACTAGACAAATGGTGGAATTAAAATTCATTTTATTAGTGATGTATTTTTAAACTTTCTCCAGTATTATTATTCTGGAGTGTTTTATAGCTTTTTGTTTGTTTAATTGATTTTATACATAGTCTTTTGTTTTAGTTTTTTTAATTGAAATTCAGTTTTTTAAAATGAAACTACCGCCCAGATCAAGATACAGAATATTAACAGACTCTCTGAAGGCTCCCTCAGTGCTCCTTTACAATCAGCACCCTTCCATCTTCCTATATTTCCCTGCCCTCCCCCTGCCCAGGCTAGTCATTAATCTGATCTATCACCATAGATTGGTTTTTACCTGATCTTGATCTTTAAATAAATGGGATCATACTAGATGTACTTAGTTTCTTTTGCTCAACATTATGTCTGTGAGTCATTCATGTCATGTAGCATTGGTTCACTGTTTTCATTGTAATGTTATATTTCATAGTATGATTATACCAAAATGTATCCATTCTTCAGTTTATGGGTGTTTGATTTGTTTCTAGTTTTTGCCTATTGTGACTACTGTAAGCATTCTTACTATGTATTTTGAGCAGCCATAAATAATTATTATGGTTCTGGCCTTGCAGTAAGGAAGAACACAAACCAGAGGAACCATGACACATCTCATCAAACAAAGGAAAATAAGTGTAGAGGGTTCTGGAAAAGTGGAGGTCAAGTGAAATTTAAGTGACTACAAGAAGTAGCAATGTGTATGAAAGGGTGAATGTTAAGTTTATACTACAAAAATAGACCTAGAGGTCTGTTTCGTTGGAAACTTGGAATGTTGTATTCTGAAACTCTTTTATTTGAAACTCCATATCTAGGTTAGATATTGAGGCGTCTTCTCTTTGTCAGTGACTTAGATCTTCCAGGCAAGAACAGAATGATTCACTCTAATGAATATGATTTCATACAGCAAAATCTCTGACAGTCTGTGATTTCAGAGAATGGTATTTCTCAGTAAGAAAGCAGTAGTAATTCAGGGAGGGGATCATCATGTGATACTTGATGTATGCAGGACATCCTTAGGAAAAACATTGTTTCTTAGTGACTTTGCATTTGGATTTGTGTCTGTTCTCCCTGCCTTATGAATGGCAAGGCAGATTACTTTATGTATGGGTGTATTAGCTAAATTACCTATTTTTTTTAATCCCCACCTGAGGATATTTTTCCGTTTATCTTCAGATAGAGTAGGAGAGAGGGAGAGAGAGAGAAACATTGATGTGTGAAAGACACATCGACTGGTTGCCTCCCACAAGACCCAACCAGGGCTGGGGACTGTACCGCAACCAAGGCACGTGCCCTTGACCAGAGAATCGAACCCGCAGCTCTTTGGTCGAGAGCTGATGCTCCAACCGCTGAGCCAAACTGGCCAAGGCAAATTACCTATTTTTAAAAATTGTTTTGTCATCTGAAAAGTCACCTAGTAGTTTTAGTCCAGTTACTTAGGAAACCAAGTAATTACAAGGAATTAGCACCAAAGAAAGGTGAGAATAATCCACAAGGAATGCAAGCCCCGCAGTCAGTTTAAAACATTGTATGGTTTTTAGCTGATTCACAAGTGAGTTTTAGCCAGGTATTGAACTCATACAAAGAACTGACTAGGGTTGCAAAGAGCAATATTAAGAATAGAGACTCTACAGGTATCATTTTAAAGAGATAAACAGTGTCTATCAACAATCCAAAATCTTCAGCTGGCAAAGTGGAAAAAATATAGAGAAAAAAGAGGAAAGAAAATAAAGAACTGTAGTATGTAGTGTCTCCAGTCATCTTGTTCCATGTGTCTTGGGCAAATAATCCATTTCATGTCATCATCAGCTTGATCCAACTGACTAGTGTGGAAACTCATCGTTTTGCAGTTTCTGAAGATTCTTTGTCATCTCAAGTTTGAGGTGTCCTGCTGAGAGAACTTGCATCAATTTAAGATTGGCCTTTGCCAATCTAAAATTGAGAGACTGGAATACAAGGATCATAATTCTGTTTTACCATTGTGTTAGTTGTTAACAGTACCTGGCAAGATTCTATTTCTTGAGGTTAGAGGGCAGTTTTCTATAAGGCAATCTGAGTTTTAATCATTAAAAGGTTGTTTCAGAGGAAATGCTTTTTGGACATGTTTGAATATAAAACTGTGTGTAGGTACAAGTCTCAGCTATATTAGTCTGTAATGTAGAAACTAGAGTTGGGGGCAGTACTCCCAGATGTATAAGATGTTCACTTTTTGGTACATTGGGAGAGTTAATGAACTCCTGAAGGAATCAACCTCACTGTCATTCAAGTCAAAACAAACATTTTAGGCTGAGGAAGTCTAATAATTTCTAAAAGTTGGCCCAACTTCAGTTTGAAAATTCCATTTGTCTCTTTTATCTTACCTGAGCACAAAGGCAGTGAAGATTTTGAGTAAAATGTATTGTCGTACAAAGCTTCTTAGTAACAGTTCTAGGAAAGTGTTTACATCACTGAAGAGGTAAGAGTTTTCCCAGGTAGGAAACAAAAAACTACAGCAACTTTTCTTTGCCATTGTTAAAGTTGAGACTTTTAAACAACCTTTGATCCATCTTAGAAATAAACATAATGATAACCCAAAATAAAGGCTTTGTTAACAGAAAAACTATTTATGAAAAATTATCGGAGATATGACAT